AAGAGATAGGTGCTGCTTCAGTAACTCAGGTATCATAGTCAAAGGAGGTAAATATGTTTTGTGTGACTGTGGTTATGCTATACTTCAGGGATTCTTTACTCTGAAGATTCAGATATGGGCTCCAGGGTCTTTGAACACCATAAAATTAGAGAAAATTTTCTGGGAAGAAGGTCCATGACTTTTGTCAAATTCTCCACAGTATCCATAATATAAGTAGTATAAGAGGCAGAGGGAGCAGGGAGGGAAGATGGCTGTGTAGAACATGATAGCAAAATATGTTCTATTATACAATGAATGAAAACTCATCGCTTAAAAAATTAGGACGGCGTTAGATTTTAACTTCTACCTAAATTTCTGGTAGAACTGCCTTATTTTCTCATTATCCCATCCCTATTCTTACTGTTCTGATTCAGCTGCTAGTTCTAGTCAATAGCATTTTCACAGGCAAAATCTCCCTAGACCTCAGTGCCCTTCCATTGTTTTTTTACAACACTTACTTCCGCATTATCATTGGTAATTATTTTACCCTTGATAGACTTTCAGGATTTACTTAGTATTAGCAAGATCCAAACCAACAAAGTTGATTTACAGTTTCAAAATGACAGATAAAGACATTTATACCACCTTCTCCTTTCAAAAATCACCCCAAAATATCAGGAGAACAAGAAACATACTCAAATTCTACCTTTCATGGAACCATAATATATGAAGGCAGAATATGGAAGGAGGAATGGTTCATAACTTAGCAGAGAAGAAGGTCCATCCCAAGTGCCTTCACGAGTGAGGGGGTGGGTGAGAAGGCACACATGAGAAACAATGGCCCCCAGAACCTATCATTTCTCAGAAACTGGAAGCATCAGATACCACAAAAATAGGGGTAAGGTGGGATGAGAGAGTGATGCAGACAGTGAGTCCCCAAGTCACCATCCAATCTCCACACGGTCTGAGGACTATTCTTTCCCCACCTATACAGGAAACCAGAGTATTTGCCAGAGAAACTGAACCCCAGACTTGGGGATATCAGTCGGGGCCGGCGGGGGGCCGTTAATATGAGATACACAATGAAAACAAGAGAATTAAGCAAACTATGAGGATTAAACTTACTAAATATGAGAAGGTACAGTCTTCTTTGCTTAGAATGCCAACACCCAAATTTTCGCCATCCCTAGGCAACAGATTGGACATTCCAGAGAGAATGAGTTCAGATGCTGACACTTAAGGATCTCCAGCAAAAGACCAGCCAGTTACATGATCACCCTGTAGTAAAACCCAGCAATCTGCTGGCACCACCCACATGCACTGGTACATTTTGTAAGCTTTTTAATGCTTTACTCTTAAATATGACTGACAACCAAGGATTACCAGACATTTGAGGGAAACCACCAAACATAGAGAAAAGAAGGAATTCAGAGGAAAAAGGCAGTTCAGGGAGCAGAAGGAAATTTCAGAGGAACTATCATATCTGCAGAAAGATAAAATACTGCATCCATGAAAGAAGACTAGCATGCTATTAGAAAAGGAGCAGACAACAAGAAAATGCTTATAAATTAAAAATAGTCTTATTCCTGGAAAGTAAGAGGAAAAAAAGTAAAAATAGACTATGGGAAGAAAAGATAAGAAATGAGGAAATCAGTATGAGAAGTCCAATATTCAACCAATTAGAGTCCCATTCAAATAGGTCAGAAAAACAGTGAAGAGGAAATTATATTAAAAAATAAAAAAGATTATAAGGAAGTTGTACTGAAGAAGACAAGCTTTCAGATTGAAAAGGCTTATCAAGCACAATGAATGGTAAAAAAAGTTCCAAACCAAAGAATATCTTTGTGAAATTGCATAACACCAGGGATAGGGAGAAGATTCTAAAACAGAGAAAAATCAAGTCACATTCAAAGGATTAGGAATAAGACTGGTATATACTTCTCAAAAGCAATTTTGGATGCCAGAAAACAATAGAGCAGAACTTCAAAATTCTGAGCGAAAATGTTTCAACCTAGAATTGTTAGGCAAGCTAACAACTGAGTATAAGAATTGTTAGGCAAGCTAACAACTGAGTATAAGAATAAAGACATTTTCAGTCATTCAAAGTCTCAAGAAAAAAAAGAATTATCTACCCCAGTGTTAAAAAATTAACACCCTTTTTCATGAAGCCATTGGCAGATGTGGTCCCGCAAACAAAGGAGTAAACAAAGAAAGAGAAAGTCGTGGGATGCAGAGGTAGGAGACCAGCTCAAGGAGAGGAAGGAGGAGCCCCCAATCCCTGATGATGGTGAGGGGAATCCCAGGAGGGAGGCTGGCAGGAAAAAGAGAGAATCCAGACCAAACAGTAGGAACAGGGCTACGAGAGAGGCCCCACGGTATGAATGGATCTAATAAAACATCTGGTGGTTTTGACCCCATTTAAACTTGTTTTGAGAAGCATTTTACAGAGTTGGACAGGGTGTGAGAAGACTTAGTCAGATGTTCAAGGAAATCTTAACTCAGGAAATGCAAACATTTACATAAGGAAGGAAACACAACCATTGGATACTAGTTGGGTCAGCAGTGAATAATAGTCACAGAGTAGAAATACAATGAGGAAAGCAGTGAGTATGGATGGAAGTATGAGGAGAGGAAAGGAAGGGTGTGTGTAGGTGAACACAAGTCCTCGCCTGCCACAAGACATCAGTGTTTAAGGGCAGACACTGGCACAAGTATGCTGGGAGTTTGCCAGTCTCTGCCACTTAATAGCTGTGAGACCTGTGCATGTTACTTAACCTCTCCATGACTCAGTTTCCTCATCTGTAACTGGGAACAATAATAGTTCTTACCTCACGGGGCTGGTAGAAGAATTAAATAAGTTAAATAGTTGTAAAGCTCTTAGGACAGTACCTGGCACACAGGAAGGATTATACAAGTACTTGATGAATAACCAAGTGCTAATAATATGTGCATATTATATAGAAATATAGTGGTAAATACCTGTCACATTAGGTAAAAAGGAAAATGAAAAGTGGCTGTCTGTGGGAATCAGGAAAAGGGAAGGTTAGGGGACAGCTATTTTTGGTTCTAAGTCTTGTAGTACAATTTGAATTTTATAAAAACTAGTGCAGGTAATATACATTTTTTTAATTTTATTTTGTTGTTAAGAATATACACAGCAAACCTTACACCAATTTAACAGTTTCTACATGTACAAATCAGTGACATTGATTACGTACTTCCTGTTGTGCGACCATTCTCATCCTCCTTTTCTGAGTTGTTCCTTCCCCATTAACATAAACTCATTACCCCTTAAGGTTCCTATCTAATCTTTCAAGTTGCTGTTGTCAGTTTGATCCCATATAAATAGTTCTTAAAAAAGCATAATGCTCAAGGCAAACATTTTTTACTAGTTAAACTAAACTAATTGTTTGGCTTTAAGAGCACTTCAGGGGATAGTTCTAGTTTAAGGTTTAAAGATTATCTCAGGGCAATAGTTTCAGGGGTTCATCCTCATCCAGCCTTCATGGCTCCAGAAAGTCTGGAGTCCATGAAAATTTGAAATTCTGTTCTACGTTTTCCCCCTTTTGATCAGGATTCCTCTATAGAATCTTTTATCAAAATGTTCGGTAATGGTAGCTGGGAACCATCCAGTTCTTCTGGTCTATGGCAAAAGTGGCAGTTGGTCATAGAGGCAATTAGTCACACATTTCATTTCTTCCTATTCCTGAGTTTCCTCTGATGCTCCAGGTGAATAGAGACTATGCAGGTAATATTTTAAGTAAAATAAAACTTAGAAAAGCCAACAGTCAACTCTGGATTTTAAAACATAGGGGCACAAACTTTGACATGGACTATTTCATTCCCCCAGATAATTTATTAACATTTCCATATGCTATGCAAATGAAGTTGTATGTATTTCTAAATGTAAGACTGGAGACAAGTCCATTTTTAAGAATAAAATTGTCAACACAGGAACCTATTAGTTATTCTGCAATAACAGCATAACTAATACAAAAACAAAGTGTTTATTGCTCTAAGGAAAGTGTCTTACAGATACTAGCTACTGTTCCTAGCTTTGGGGGAGAAAACACACACGAAAAGTGAAGCAATTTGAACTCTACCTCTCCTCTCCCCCTGCCTTCTGTAAAGATTTTAGTAAGTAATGAAATGGGAAACTTACAAAGTAAAAGCGGAAAAGACATAAAGCCTGTAATTCCAGAAAATATCCAGGTCTGCTTTCCCAGAGGTCCATTTCTTCCTCTAAACTAATGAAAGACCCAGCAGGAATCAAACCATTTCTGCTCCTGGTTACATAATTATATCAAACTGCTTCCAAAAGTTATCACATCCCACCTATGCATTTCACAGGCAAACGACCAGAGGATAATAAAAAAACGATTCCAAGTAACGGACACCCCACTTGATCCTCAATCTGAAGTTGCCTAATCCTTTGCCAAATTCTAGTTTTTAAGACATGCACTGCCTTATTAACTGCAAAATGTTCATCTGTCTGCCAAGTGAATATGGAATTAAAGCATGTATAAAAGAACTTCTAAAACGTCATCCTATAACACTTTGAATACTTCTAAGTTGTTCCTTTTAATACTTTTTATTTTTGCCTGCTTTCGTTTGAGTGGCATCTGGTGGATACAGCATTCATTTATAAAGTCACATTTCTCCTTTTTCCCTCGACCACTAAAAACGATGCTCATTAAAATGCAGTTACAAACCACATTTTGCTCTGGTCCTTGGCCAAACTGTCACTATATCTGGAGAGTGCAAACTTAGGCAACAAAATAGTCTGAACTTTGTCCTGGTGTGGCAGTGTGGGCCACTGTGACAGCGAGCTAATTCATCACTGCGGGGACCTTAGGCTGTGCAAGTGACCACCCAACTTACTGTCGTCGAAGGAGGTGGCAGTTAATCATTTCCTTAAATGATGCGGCGATGAAAACAGAGCTGATTGTTGCTCAGCCGACCAGCGTTATCCATCCTACCTGCCCCCAGTAGTGACTGTTGCCATTTTCCCTTCTTCCCAGACTGCTGGGTTTCAAAAGATTCTGACCGAGGTGGAAATTTTAGCGGTGATTGTGGGCTGCCTGTGTCACGACCTCGACCACAGGGGAACCAACAATGCCTTCCAAGCTAAGTAAGTGTTCTAATTGTTGTTATTTTAATGCATTTGCCTTTCTGTTCAGAGCCAAAGGTGACAAATGCTAAAGAGTAAAGCATTAATTTCTGGCATCCGAGGCCAAGGCCACGCAGGCTTGGGTGTGCGTGTCATGGGGCCCATCCATCTTTATAATTCCCTATTCTTCTTTTAATTGCAAATTTGCCCTTCATGTCATGCTTGTTGATTTGGTCTGTGTCTGTTGACCTCAGTCAGATAACAAAGCTCAGTTTTTAAAAGGGCCTTTTCTCCCCCTCCCAGAATATTTGCTTTCATGGCATTATAAGCTTCTTGAAACTGCTACTCTCAAAATCTGGCTTTGAGGCTATTAAAATAAAAGTGTTCTTGGGGAATTTTATGAAGCAAAATATCTCTTGCTTCCCCCAGTAGAATCTCTTCCTGGGAGTCTTTGGGTGTTGAGGCTTGTATAAAGTGCAGTGAAGTAAAGCTGCACAGAAAGAGTACCGTCTCTGCGCCTCCCATCCTTACTCCCACAGAAAGGTGGGGAACAAACAAAGGAATTACATAAATGCCGGGGGTGTGTACATAATGTGCATGGACAGAATAATCTGTGCCTCAGGAAGTTGTAGAGTTTCAGGGTGGTGCAAACGATTAATACGCTCAGATGCTAACAGAAAGGTTGGAGGTTGGAATCCACCCAGAGGTGCCTCAGAAGAAAGGCCTGGTGATCTACTTCCAAAAAGTCAGCCATTGAAAACCCTACGGAGCACAGTTCTGCCTTGACACACAGGGGGGCACCATGAATTGGAGTCAGCTTGACAGCAACTGGTTTTTTAATCAAGATGTACTGGTCAAGATAGCCACTGCCTGGTGGCTCACGCTGTGGCCAAGGCCGCAGGACTTAATGAGTGCAGAAAATAAGACCAAAACCCATGTCTCCTGACTCTTATACTGAGGGTCCAGTTTTAACATTGTGTCACACAAAATGACATGGGAAGTCAGAGGCTGGAGAGAATAATTTGGGGTGTAGTGGTTAGGGAAGGCTTCAACCAAGAGGTAAGATTAACTTTCAGATAATCCACTTCAAAACCCTCAGAACAAATCCGCCTCTAAAATCTGAAACTCTTAATATCCCATTTGGTGACAACAGGCTCCTTTCAATTCACCACTCTTTTTGTTCCCTAAAACACCTACCCATTGAGACCTTGGAGTCCTGAGCCCCTACATTTGTTCCGGGTCTAGCAGATGAATATTGACCGTGTATCCTTCTCTAACCATCCTCTATCCCACAGGCTATCACTTCAACCCTCCCTTCTCAATATCCTAAATTTTCTTGACCATCTTAATGTTGGAGCCCTGGTGGCTGCTAACCAAAATGTCAGCAGTTTGAATCTACCAGCTGCTCCTTGGAAACCTTATGGGGCAGTTCTACTCTGTCCTGTAAGGTCACTATGAGTTGGAATCGACTCACCGGCAACGGGTTTGGTTTTGGTTTGGTTTCTCTTAACTTTCTGTGATATGCACCTCACAACATCAGCCCTGGTTCAACGTAACAATTCAATTTCTTACTGCTGTACCTAGACTTTTAAGTTCCACAAGAGCAGATGTCACAATTGAGAGTTTGTGACCTACCAAATTTATGTTCTCCCAACTCAGCTGGGCACTCAGTACTCCCCAGCAATCTTTCTGTGTCCCTAGCTGGCTCCATCTCCCATTGATCTTAGCAGTTATATATACCAAATGTTCTCTCTTCCTCCACCACCTCCTGCTCCACCACCTCCCTCGCACCACTCACAGATGACCTTGCCTCCTACTTCACGGAGAAAATTGAGGCTATCAATTGAGAACTCCCTCAATTTCCTCTCCTGCCACCTGCAAACTTATCTGTCCCCATCCTTCCCTCCTTGCCTCCTGTATCAGTGAAAGGACTGTCCTTCCTCTCATCTGAGGCGAATCCCTCTGCCTCTGCTTGGTTCCCTTCCCTGCTACTACCACAGGGATCTTGCGCCATCAATCTTCCTCTCTCTCCGCTGTATTAACCTCTCCCTTTCTACTGGCTCTTCACATCCTATTAATATGAATAATTCTCCTTCATCCTGAAAAAAAAAGAAAACCTTAATCCCCACTTCTCTTCCTAGTACTGTTCTATTTCTCTTCTTTTCTTTATAGTCAAGCTTCTTCGGAAAGTTGTCTATGTTCATTGTCTTCACTTCCCCCAACCCTTTTCCTCCCACTTGGCTTCCAGTTCCACCTCACCTGGGAAACTGCCCTCAGTAATGTCCCCAATGGTCCCTTTTCCCAAATTTGTTGGACCCTTTATTGTCCTTCTTTCTTGCCGCTTTTTGGCACCAGACGTATTTTACCACTCCCTACTTCCTGAAACTCTCCCTCTTCCCTTGTCGCCTTGACAAAGGATTATCCTCCACCTTTATCGCCTTTCCTTCTCAGTCCGCTTCAAAGCCTTTGTTCCCCTGCCCAACCCTTCACTGGGGATGTTCTCTCCCATCCTCTCCTGCTCTGTAGGTCCTTATTCAGGGCTTCCACTCATCTGCAGATGAGCCCCAAATCCATATTTTTGAACCATAATTCTCTGCTTATCTCCAGGAACTTATGCCAGTTGCTTGAAGTCCCACAGTCACATCAGTCTTAGTCTTTCCCCTTCAGACCTGTCCCTCTATCTCTTATTCTCTATCCCAGTTAGAGGAGATTTTATTTTAACAATTTTAATAAAGTTTCCTGATTTCTTAAACAGAAGTAACCTTTTATAGATTATTATAAAGCATATTTTTTATAAACATAGTTTTGGTGCTATACTATAAGATAAAAATATCCTTAGACCTATTATGAAGTATAAACTGTGTGTGCCTTCATTAAAGGGTCTGAGAAGTCCCTATTTTTGAGTTCTTGTCTGCATTCCATTATTTTTTTTAAGGATTTCTCTCTCTCTCAGGCCCATGGCATCATTGTCAGTGTATCTCCCTCTAGCACTCTCTCTCTAGCCCCCTACTAATCTACCACTTACACATAAAGAAAAGAGAGATGTGGTCTAACATGTATCTATAAAACAAGAGTAAGCCCCTTGTGGGTTGTCTTAATAGTGACATACACAATACTTCACTCAGATACCAGTGGTCCCCTCCCGAGAGAGATAGCCTGCCTTTCCCACTGAAAGAGGCAATTCTGCTTACAGTTGACCCCTCAGCTGTTCATACCAAGATTAAACACTTAATCAAGGCCAGGCCAATCATATTTTATCTCCCAGGAATTTGAGGTTGGTTTACCATAATATTTGAGTCAGTAGCTGTGGGGATCCAAGTCACAGGTCCACGTAGACCGGGGAGCTGAGGCTGACATTTTGGGAAAACTGTGATGGCCCCCATCCCAAGTAGATGAGAGAAACAACACATTCAGTCTGCAGAGAGAAGAATGAAGCAGATATGCAGAGAGAAGCAGAAAGGAGAGACTATACAAACCTAGAGGAAGACAGAGGAAAAGCAGACTTGATCCCTGGCTTTCTGCATCCTCTGCCGCTATTTCTAGGAGACTCAGCCGTACTTTTGGTAATTGGGCTCCCTCACAGTCCTTGGTAACGTTTAATCAGCCTTTTTCTTAGTGAAGCTGGTTCTAGTGGCGCCACTAGGGTTGGTGTCACCCATGCATTAACTCATGGTGACACATACCCACGCCACTGGGATTGGGTGGGGCCTACAGGCAAACCCACCCACGTGGGCGGAGCGGCCCAGCCCCATCTCCTGCTCTCCCACTCTGCAGGCTGCATCCAGCTCCACGCTGGCTTGGCCCACCCCTCCTGCCCCGGTTCCTCGGGGCTGCCCGTAGTTCCTCCCCTCTCCCATTGGCCAAGGCAGAGACACTGCTCTCTGCCCAATAGCAGGCACCGCGGCCCGGCTGCTTGCACCCTGACTGGCTAGGGGGTAGGGGAGTGACGAGTTACACCACTGGGTGATGGGTGACACCAACCCTAATGACGTGACTGCCTTGGCGGCCCCTCCCCCCAACGGCGCCAGCTTACTCGTCGCCGCCACTGCCGTTACCGTGAACTCTGGGGTCAGTTTGGTGTCGCCCCCCTCTGACAGTGTCAGGAGGTGCACTCCGCACCTCCCCGCCCTCCGCATCCCCTAGTGATGCCACTGGCTGGTTCTACTTCATTTCTGTTCTTTGCAATTAACAGTCCCTGAGATGATGAAAAAAACTACAATTTATTTGTTGTCTACTATGTTTCAAGCCAGCATCCCTGGGGTAGGTAATTTTATCTCCATTTTATAGGAGGAAACCAAGCCTGAGAAAGATCAGGAACTTGCCCAAATTGATACATATAGAATATGGAATAGCTGGTGTTTGGACCTGGGCTGTTGGACTGCAATAGTCATTCTTTAACCACTGCATCATACTCTCCTCCATGATTTGTGATATCTAGTTTGGACCTTTGAACTTCTAGTTTATTACCTGATCTGCCACATACATGAACTCTGGAAAACTAAAATATATTTTGACATTTAGCAATTCAAGACATGGAGTCATAAAAATCATAGAACCGACTAGACCTAAGTAGTCATATCTTTCAATGCTTTAATTTTACAAAAATGGAAACTGAGATCCCTATTATGGTTTGAATTGTGCCCTCCAAAAAGTTATGTTGAAGTCCTACCCCCTATACCTGTAAATATGACTCTGTTTGGAATCAAAGTGTTTCTTTTGTTATGTTAATGATGTCATACTGAATTAGGGTGGGTCCTAAACCTAATCCTTTCTGAGTGGTGTCTTATAAAAAAAGCAGAATGGACACCGACACACACAGGTCAAAGACAAATCACATGTGAAGATATATCTTCAAGCAGTCAAGGAACGCCAAGGAACACCCAGGGGTTACCAACAAGGAAGGACTCTCCCTAGAACCGATGCCCTAATTTGGACTTTTAGCCTCTAAAACTATGAGACAATAGCTTTCTATTCTTTAATGCCACCCGCTGGTGGTATTTTTTGTTATGGAAGCACGAGCA